CTGCAAAGTAGTGGCAAAGTACCGCAAAGTAGTGGCAAAGTAGTGGCAAAGTAGTGGCAAAGTACTGCAAAGTAGTGGCAAAGTAGTGGCAAAGTAGTGGCAAAGTAGTGGCGAAGTACTGATTTCACTTCGACATAATTTTTTCCAGTCACTTTGGCTATTGTTGGAGGGTTTCAGGAGGCGACATGTTGGGGAAAGCCTTGCATGAGTAGAGTACACTAGAAATGTATTCAAACTGATTTGTTTGCAGGGACAGTCAAGTAGTACCTGAATTGATTGACACTTACCGTATGTTGGGGTGATAACTTAGAATCAGTATTGGCGGAGTCTTCTATTGCATGTAAAGTTTCTACCAGCTTATGCTGTGATCTGAAAGATTGGGCATAACAGTGATTAAGTTAGCGCATATCAAACAAATCATTGAAACTGACACAGTCCCCGTAAAATTTTTGAAAGTTATCTTTGTACTTGTTATGTTAAAGCAGAGTTGTCACGAGTGTGTCCTTGAATCTTGAGTTTCAAGTGGCGTATACAACAGATAGTTTATTTACATCAAAACACGTGTTTTGTGTAGTAGTGTAGTAGTAATATGGCCAAAAATAAAAACAGCCGTTATACGGCCATCCTTGACCAGATTTTGAAACAAATTGTCATGGACATGCATCCTAACATGTATAAAGTACATGTATGTGCCAAATTTGAATGAAAACTGACAGAGCACGTCCAAGATACCGCAAGATGTTTGCCAGTAGACCATCTTTGATCCAATTGCGAAATAAATCGTCATGGACATGTATCCTAACATGTATAATCTATGTACCATGTTTGAATGACAACTGACAAAGCATGTCCAAAATACAACATTTTCAAAAAACAAGATGGCTGCCAGTCGGCCATTTTGAATTGAATCGCTAAACCACTGCATGTGCATTTGTCCTACATAAGGTACTAGGCACATGCAAAGAATGAACAGAATCAGTCAACAGGATTCTGAAATATGACTCTGGACGGACTGACGCACGGATGGACGGACACACGGATGAACGGACTCAGGAACTCACGAACGGTCGGGGACATGTATTCTAACATGTATGATCTATGTACTAAATTTGAATGAAAACTGACAAAGCATGTCCCACATAAAGTACTAGACACATGCAAAGAATGAACGGAATCGGCCCAAAAGATTCTGACGGATGCACAGACGCACAGACAGACGCACGGAGACCGAATTATAAGTCCCCGTTTTCGGACTTCGTCCGAACAGGGACTAATTATGGGAATATTTTACTACGTTATCATGTGTATATAGCTAAGTATATGCTAAGGCAGTACATGATCATGGGGTTTCTCATGACAACCTTATTAATGTAGAATCATTTATTTTCCTGATATTTAATATTACTTTTTTGAGCAATTTCGCTGGGTTTTATGTTCATAAACTCAGCTAAAAAAAAAAATGAGTTCTATTGTTATTCAAGTTCACATAGATTTAATTTTAGTGAATTTCACTTACTGTAAAATACTTTATTTTAGCTGGAATTATTTTTCACTGAAATAACTTTTTGGGTGTTGTATGGAATTTATTTCACAGATTTTTGACAAGTTTAATGTAAAATACAGGAAAAAAAGGTGTATTCGCAAAAATAGCCAAAATTAATTCCAAGCTAAAATTAAGTATACTACAGTATCAACGAAATTTATAGTATTGTATATTTGTAGTCATAATTTAGATGGAGACACAGTTTGTGCCTAAAATGCCAATGATGATGATGAGCCTGTGCAATCATTTTAATTCAGTGACAAGATTCCATTTTTGTGTTGTTACATTGTTACTGTATCCAAAATAAACAAATGGGAGTATTCCACTATGTTCATAAATGAGATGTACATTTCCCAAATAAGGACACATTCAAATAATACTTTTTGAACCTGTCTAAATTCTATTATTTTACCTGAACACAACACATGAAATATGGATTCACACTCTGGTAGTGTCCAAATATTTCAAATTATTGCTGTAATATGTCTTCTACAATTTATATGAGTGCAAAAATTGTTCCAAGCAGCCTGTCGGCTAAGATAGCTCCGCTGTTAGCAATGCACATTTCAATTAAAGAACTGAAGATATCATTAGAAAATGAACAATATGTATAGTATCAAAGCAATGGGACTTGAATTCAAAAATATCATTTTTCACCATAATGATTGTGGTTTTTAACAAAAAGTTGAATATATCACTTTTTACCAAAAATTACAAAAATATTCACCAAAATTAGAAAATTAAAGATATCATTACAAAATAAACAAATCTGAGAGAGGTCCACATGTAGTACCTATATAAGTGATATCAAAGCAATTGGACTTGCGGTTTTTAACAAGAAGTTGAAAATATTACTTTTTACCAAAAATGACAAAAATATTCACCAAAATTTAAGAATTGAAGATATAATCATGAAATGAACAAATCTGAGAGAGGTCTACCCAAGGTACATATACACCAAGTAGCAAAGCATTCAGGCTTGTAGTTTTCAAGAAGAAGTCGAAAAAGTAAAACATTGACACGAACGACGACGGACAATCACTCGTATGATAAGCTCCGCACAACAAAGTTGACAGTGGAGCTAAAAAAGTAACCGTGACCAAATGGTCATAATTTCTGATTGGGTACAGGGTTTAATACATCAGCAGCTAATGCTGTTTTTCCCTATATATTTTGTCTATCCATGGAAGCCTTCAACAGGCAATGTGTTAATATGTGGAAAAAATTACGCAAAGTTGACTTTAAAAGTTAGATTAACTTGTGATCTACTACGAATTTCCCAAAAAATAGTCAATTAAAGTAAGACA